CTACAGTTTGTGGACTTCCTGATAGTAAAGAATTACAATAATCCAGCCTTGAAGTAACAAATGCATGGACTAGTTTCTCAGCATCAACCCTGGACAGGAGATTTCTAATTTCTCCAATATTTAGCAGATGAAAGAAGGAAATTCTAGAAACCTCTTTGATATGGGAAATAACACCAAGATTTTTTACTTTATTAGCTGAGATCAATTTAATCCCATTCAAATGAAGTGACTGACTAATCAGCTTCTGATCCAAAGACTAACTTCTGTTTTTTCTGCATTCAGAAGCAGAAAGTTAAGAGTAATCCAGGCAAAGGCAAAGGTTTGATTTCAGCTTTAGTAGGGACACTATTGGTCTGATGTCATTGGTCCTATGCAAAATGATGCATGCTAATTTTTGTATGCTTGACGGGAAAATCAGGGTGTATTTTGTTTAAAGAGTAAAGCAGCATTTCTTGCTACATTGTAAAAATGTGATAAGCGCTACACACACTAGATGCTGTTTATCAATGTTTGAAGCATCATCTGCTCTGATGAATGAGGAATTATGACTTTTTTCCACTTTGAAAAGGTTTGCATTTGAAATTACCAGCGACTAAGACAGAAAGTAAATATGTGCCTATGTAACAAAATATAGTCTAAATATGTCTGTTTTATGTGAATTTATCCTGTTTTTTCTTTTAAAGATATACAATTGTGCAGAGGTAAAACCCACTCTTATCTTTTATATATTCTCTCTGTATCATGAAACAAAGCAAAAATAATAGATTTAAGGGACACCAAATAAATTTATTTTATAATTACTCTATTTAACCCATATCATGTATTTTATCTTGCTCTGAAACAATTCATCGGAATAATCAAATATTGAAATGCCAACAAATTTAGTAATCAATTAATTGTTAACTGGAGTATTGAGACTCTAAACCATGTCTTTAGCTCACAGAGCGACCCACATTATACCAAAATTGTAAAAAAATATATATCCAAAAAGTTTCGTCTGTCAATATTTTCTATCCAGAACCCCTCTACTGCTGCAACAAAGCTGTATTGAAATTATAAACAAATGGTAAGTACTTATATAGCACCTTTTTTCAAGTCAGGAGACTTGACCAAAGCACTTTACACTACATTCATTCACCCATTCACGCACACACTCACACACTGATGGGGGCAAGCTACATTGTGGCCACAGCTACAATGAAGCAGGGCTGCCGTACACTGGCGCCACCAGGCCCTCTGACCACCATCAGTAGACAATGCAGGTGAAGTGTCTTGCCCAAGGACACAACAACACTGGAAGTCAGAGTCTGGGCTTTAACCGTCAATCCTTCGATTTCAGGGCAAACTCCTAAATCCAACGCCACTGTCGCCCCAACAAACATGTTGTTCACATCTAATTTTTGGTAGCGACAGGTAGGTTGGTCCAAAATTTTGGTAGAGACATGTCCCTATGGTCCCTATGCAAACCTACGCCCATGAATCCAGGTTTTTATGTCTTCAAGACATGCCTGTAATCTATGTAATGGGTTAGCTTTATCTGGATTTATAGACAGATAAAGCTGGGTATCATCGGCATACCAGTGGGAATTAATCCCATGCTGCCTGATAATTCTACCAAATGGGGGCATATTTAAAGATAATTGGTCCTAGCACTGATCCCTGTGGTACTCCACAGGTAGCCCTGGAGCATAAGGAACTTTTATCATTAATGTAAACAAACTGAAATCGGTCAGATAGATACGATTTAAACCAGTCTAGTGCTGTTCCTTTAATTCCTACAAAATATTCAAGTCTTTGAATATTATTAATATATTATAAATGCAGCACTGAGATCTAAAAGGACGAGCACAGATACAAGTCCATTATCTGAGGCCATGAGAATATCATTAGTGACTTTCACAGGAGCTGTTTCAGTGCTATGATGAGCTCTAAAGCCAGATGAAAATGCTTCAAAGAGTTCACTATGGTGTAAGTGGTCGCACATTTGTTTGGCAACTACTTTCTCAGAAATTTCAGTTCAACCTCAAGGATTACTGGCTTTTTATTCCCAGTGGGGTGTTTGTTTCAGACTGTAAAACGATTAAAAGGGTGCTTTCCCTACTATATTGCAATGAGATTTTTTACTATATGCAATAAAAAGCTTTTCTGATTAACTAACGATTAGGAAGAAACTTCATAAACCTGCACCTCTCCCTTCTCCCCCTTTGTGTTATAACTAAACTAAATTGGATGCGTAAAACCAGTGCTGCAGTGTTTCTCAATAGCTATTTCCTCTCTACGTTGCAAGAAACCTGAAAACAGGGTTGGTACATGCAGAATAAAGAGCATAAAGAAATACTCTGCCTCTGTTTTTTTTTTTTTTGCAGATTGTCCGTCGCTATGACATCATTCTGATCCAGGAGGTCAGAGACAGCGACCTTTCAGCAACCAAAAAATTAATGGACTATGTCAACAAGTTAGAGTCACTCATACCCAGCATCCACTGCACCATTATGCTAACATAGCGTCAATGTTTCTAAAAGAAGTAGCAGTAAAGTTTCAGAAAATCACAACATCTTTTGGTTCTGATGTTTTTTTGTGCGTTTTCCCCAGAGCTTCTTCTGATTACCGCTACATTGTGAGTGAGCCTCTGGGTCGCAGCACCTACACAGAGAGATACCTCTTCCTTTACAGGTAGGAATAAGCAAATCTATATAAAATCATATAACATAAATGTTCTTATTCTTCTATTTTATACATTCTGCTTTTCAATGTGTAGCACTTTAACACCTCAGCTCCTGATGTAATTCTCTTTAACCCTCTATCTGCAGGCATGCAAGTGTGTCGGTGGTTAAAAGCTACACCTATGATGATGGCTGTGAGTCCTGTGGGACAGATGCTTTCATCAGGGAACCTTTTGTTGTCCAGTTCTCATCCAAATATACCGGTACGCTTTAAAACACTTCCTCTGTTTCAGTAACATTTATTCTCCAAACACCCAGACTTTGATGTTCTCTTTAAAGGGTAACTTACCCCAAAACCACAATTTTTGCAGATAAAATAAGTCTCTCAGTGTCTAAAAGATACTATTTATCTTTTGTTTGGTAAACTTGTTTAGTAATGCAAACTTAGTGCTGCCTTCCTGTTGAAAGGTGGCTATTAGCTTTAATATTTCCTATTGGTTTCAATGGTTCATGTAGCGTCCCAGCAATTCTATGCACAAAGACCCTGGGCCCAGAATCTTCTTTCTGCAAGATAACAGTTTTAAAAACTCTGCAGGGGTTTCCAAAGAAAATTAACCACGCAACAGACCGGTGATCCTCTAAAAATACATATTCAGTTGAAAGACTCATTCAGTTGAAAATTAAATACATCGAATAATGAAAATAAATAAATATGTTTTTTATATATTTATTTATACCTATGAAGTAGTTATATTAGTTATTTAAATAAATAAATTTTTCAAAATAACATACATCATTTTAAATGTATTTTTACTTATTGAATGTGACGTCTAATTATTTCATTGTTGATTTTATAATTTAATTGTATATTTAATATTTAAATCATGGATCAAAATAAATAATAGATGTTACATCTGCTTATTTCATCGTACTTTTATTCATAATTTTGGCCCTCCATAGACCTCAGGCATCACATCACATTATCATTAAATACATCTCCCCGCTTGGTGTTCCTTACTTTGGAAAGGCCGGGTATATAAAATATATAGAAAATAAAGTTAATTGAAATAAATAAAGTCGCTTTAGGAACCACTAGAAATAAGAGCGCCGAGTTTGTCTTCCTGAAATAAGACAAAGGACACAGCAGCGTTTTATATATTCATATGCAGATGATGCACAGCTATACATGTCTGTATCTCCTGATGATGTGAGCTCTGCCAATAAGCTTTTTGAATGCTTTATTGGTGTAAAGACAACCTGGAAAACTATTCAATCCCTTCTGAACTCTTTGGTTTAGCCCTGTGTGCATGTTAAGAGCCTTGGTTTGATAATGGATTGTAGTCTAAACTTGTTAAAAACGGACCTAGAAAAAACAGATTTATGCCTTTTTTTTCTTAAATTTTCTATGTTTTTCCAATCTCGCTCTGGGATTAGATGTCCCAGAACTAGAAGATAGCCCAACAACATTTCTTTCACATGCAAACCCTTATGACTGTTCCCATAAGGTTACCCTTGATACTTGTAAGGTAAAATGTATTGAAAATTATTTAGGGAGTAAAATTGTATACAGCGGACATGGAAAAAGAGTATATAAACTAAGGAGAGAGAGAGAAAGACAGGCAGACGGGCAGAAAAGACTAAATTAAAAGAGATTAAATAAAACAAAACAGCAAAAATAAACACAGAAGATATACAGCGACTCCTAGAAGTCTGCTTCCATACCTGTTTGAGATGAGCGGAGCACAAAACAGAGAGCATAACAGCAAAAAGAGGACAACAGACAACCAGAGTAAACATCAAAATAAGGTTCAAGACCAGCAGGCCAGTCTCAGTCAGAGAAACAGGACTACACTATAAAAACAGGCCGATCACCAACATCTATAAACAAAGGTGTTTATGGTAGCAGCACAGCTGATATTTCTCTCCAGATGGTGTCCAGGAGATTGCCTTTATCAGTGAGCCCCAAACCTCTTAACAGCACTCCAGCTGTGAAAGCTGTTCCCCATCAGGGTGAGGAGACACTGCCTCAAGGAGTGTGCAGGTCACCTGCCTGGTGTCCTCACAGACATTTTTAACAACTCGCTGGACCAACTCATAGTGCCAGCATGCTTTAAGTCTGCCTCCATCATTCTGGTCCCCAAGAAACCTCAGATCACCTCATTTAATGACTACCAGCCTGTCGCACTGAATCCTATCATGATGAAGTGCTTTGAAAGGATGGTTAAAGAACACATTGTTTCAAGTCTCCCCCAACATTTGACCTAATCCAGTTCACCTACCGACGGTAGATCTTATCCCTGTGAGGACTGTGGTGTTTTCCTGCTGCCTGATCTCGTATTTAAAGGTAAATTCTCAGCTCTGTGGGCATCTGGCTTAGTTAATGGCCTCTGTGTTACAGAGACACAATAGGCTCATCAAATGCTGGTTTAATCCTGGTTTTGTCATAAACCGGGACAGATAGACCCAGTATTCAGGTGAGACAGCCAGTGGGGCAGTAGAAAAACGTTATTAACAGAAAAATCAAACTGACAGAACAAAAGCGCAGAACGGTGGAGCTGCGGACCTGCAGCGACTGCAGGGGCAGAGCACAACCCATCACTGACTCTGGAGGGAGAAAAACGGGTAAGTGACCAGATCATCTGACAGGAAATGATAATATGATTGAGTCACTTACCTGGTTTCACTATTCAGTCCATCCTCCCTTAAGAGGTGCGATCCAGCCGATGGGCTGCCAACCAGCCCAGTGTTGTTCTCTGGGGCTGATGCTGCAGCCTGGGATGAATTACAGGAAGCCGATCCAGGTCAGGGGAAAACAGAGCAGGAAGGAACAGTTCAGGAATACAGGAAACCTCTAGCCTAGTAAACTAGCCCCTATCGGCCAAAATCATTTTTGCCTGTGAGTTTGGTCTAGCCTTGATCAATGCCCCAGGCCCTATAACTGGCGGGCAAATCACAACATGGAGATGTGTTTTGAATTTTTAGATGCAAAACGGACAGGGTTTTGAGGGTGTGACGACAAAGCTGCACGATGCTGGAGAAAGCACTACGGTAGCATGCACTGCGGCAGCAGCAGCTTTCAATGGAGCGCTCCATTGAAAGTTAAAAGTTCTCTTTTATGTTGCTGTTGTTCAATAAAAGTACGTTTTAAGATCATTTGAGGCAAGAATATTATACTTTAAAGCGTCACTATATGGTCCATTTACAGATTAAATACGTAATTAGAAAAACAATTTCCTAAGTTGAGAGGATCGTAGCAACCAGCGGCTCTCCGAGGCTAACGACAGCCAGAGCTGACTGCAGTCGTCTGCAGCGGCCCTCTCTCGACATAGTCATGTGTGAAGGATCGCTGGCTCTAATGGTGATTTTTGACTCAGCTTGATGGCTCTACGCTCATTAATTTTTAAGAAGGACGTATTCCCCGTTTTACAGACAGGCTGTTTGTTTACACCTCCCCACCAGCTTTCTCTCATGCTTCCTACATCACAGCCAGTTGCGCTCATTGGTCAGAGTGTTGGCCAATAGGCACAGACATGGTTTGAAAAACATTGGTTTGTTCTCATCAACAATCTTCCAACGTCTCATTCAATCGGGGCCAGACTAAATAACACCTTTAATCTCACATTTAGTCTGGTTTATCAGGCTAAGAAACCCCCGCTCTATCAGAGGCTCCCACCCAAACCAGATCAGAGGGATCCAGGCTTCCAGGAATCCTTGAAGGCGTGAAGGCAGGTTTGGATTCAGACGGCGTGCCCAGATGGACACGCACAGAGGCAGACAGACTGAATCCAGTAGAGTCAAAGTTTGGTTCAGGCAAACACATCAGATGGGACAGACAGGCCGGTGGGTGAAAGGGAACGGAATCAGGAAATAAGAATCACTAGGGAAATGCTGAAACAATCTCACCACTGGTTAAGGAATTAAC